TTCCAATTTTTTTATACCATGCAGTACGATTCTTTTCCTCTCAGTTTTCCGCTCAACTGCACAGTCATTCTCATTGAGAATCCACCAATGCATCAGAAAGAGGCCACTCTACTGTACAGGCGCTACAGGGAACTACGATCCTGTTGTTGTTTGGCACGAATGTTTGACAACATGCCAAACAGAGGACAGTGAACCTGTTAGCTACCGGGTCAGACTTCTGAGATCAAACCTGCGCCAAAAAGCCCATCTCCAAGCCGATTCTCGGGGGCAATATGGGGGTGTATTGGCCGTCTGTAACCATTAAATCCGAGGGGTGAATGGTAACTCGGACGGCCAATTTCATCGTCCTCTGTCCCTAAATGAATCTGCTTTGAGATAACAAAAAAGTGGAGCGGTACAATATGCTGACTAAATAAGTTTGCTCTCCATGCTTGTTTCCTCAGTCATATGTTGATCCCACGACTTCATACATGATTAGCTTGTTTGCATTTTGTACTCATATCCATTACATGTACTATTACCTTGTCTCTTCATGTTCCATGATTAATACATCTCTCTCATTGGTCGACATGCTATCCATTGGTTGAACTGCTAATTGTGATTGACAGTCAGGATCTGCAAGAAAACCCTAACGTGTATATGTACCAGAGTCCTGATGCCCAATCCCGTGGATTTTTACTGATAAATTATACCAATTGTATGTCGACTTGAGGGATCGGTGCACAGTTGTATTTGAAAATGGTTGTCTAAAAGCGTGGCAGATAAAACAACATGCAACTTGCTGATTGGGCTAACAAGTTAAACGTGTTACTCAGTACTCCATGACTACTGCCAAGGGTTTACAACGTACCGTGGCCGAGTGATTTAACGATTGGCCGTGTACATACCGATCCCATAGCTCCGCCCACTTCTGCGTTTAAATGCATAATTAATACATCTCTCTCATTGGTCGAACGGCTAATTGACATGTTATCCATTGGTTCAACTGCTAATTGTGATTGGAGTTAGGATTTACCAGAAAATGCGACATAAAGTGACCTATCCTGTTATACGCGCTAGTTAACTTCTGCACACATGTCCTTGGTGCTGAATTTCCCTCAACCACATTTGCTGTGCCTGTCTCGTCATGCAGACATGGTTGAATTGAATGTGTTGATGAACAAAAGGAAAGGCCTCTGTGAAAAATTTGCGCGCGGTCAGCACTCTTTGACAGCATTTAGAGACTATTCATGTCGCCAAATATCGGTTGACACCGATTAGTGGTTGAAAATAACCCTTTCTACGTTTAATGTCTGTTTTTTTATCAAAATATGACATTTTTAACTTTATAGTCGTTACTATGACAATAAATTGTAATGAAAAAAAGCCGATTTCGGTCACATCCGCGCAGTGTTAGTGCAACCATGGCGATCTTTATATGAAAACACATTTCTTTTATCCGATATTCAAACCACCCCTTGGTTTGACAGAAAGGTAAATTATTTCGTTTCATGATGTTGCAAATTTTCACTTAGGCCTTTGTTTGGTTTATTTACGACATTTTCAGGCATGTCTTTTCTTATTCTTATCTCTGACCCCTTCCACGCAACCTCCTTTTCCATTCTATCAGACTTAGACGAGTGCCCATCTCAGACAACCTGTACCAGCCCCAACCAATGTCTCAACTTTATGGGGAGTTACTACTGTATGTGTTCGGCAGGGTATAGACATCACGGCGACAACACCAAAGCTTGCATCGGTGGGTCGTAAGTATAGAAAGAAACTAGCCAGGCGTGGCGCAGCGGTGGACACTAACACACGAACACGCGACTACTTCAGCACTGAGCTCCAGCTACAACTTACAGTGTCCTTTTCCGTATACCTCACCTTCAAAGGCATCCAATGCAATTCCAGGGAGGCAAAACGGCAGTTTCAAAGAACAAAAATTACCAATGGTCAATTTTTCCCAAATTATCCTACAAAAACTCGGGAATCATAAAAAGAAACAAACACAGTTTGGCCGGAAAAAGGAAAGGCTTTAATTTGCGACTTTTCCGAAACAAACACCAAAGGAACGGCCAAACTGCGAAACATTATTAAATTTAGAAAAAACAACAACAATATTCTGGTCATTCTTTTAATGTAGTAAGTTGAATCAATCCTATCCCATAGCATACTGATATCTGCGAGGCAAAAATACGATATAGCTGAAGAAAACGGTTGCTTGTCTTTTTTTATAGTTCGAGCTATTTATAGGCGGTATCCAAAAAATAAAAGGTACACTTCACGTAGCTTATTTCGGGGGTTGAAGTATGAGATCATGACAAAAAAGTGTTAAGAAATGTCAGTAAGTGCCAATATCAGAAGGATTTCCTGATCCAGCGTATTTTTCGTTTTGCCGCCATGAAATTGCATTGGATGTTTTTATTTTAAACTTAACTGCTTTACCAATAGATTTTACCATTCACCCACAAACCTTTAAGATAACTTGTTTGTTTGCTCAAGACATTAAGTCAGAGAACGTCAGCTTTGCGTGTGGCTCAGAATTTGTTCTAAAGTCAAATATAATCCATTGTGTGGGGTCGTGTGGCGTAGCGGCAGCGTTCTCGATTCGGAACCAGAGGCCCCGGGTTCGAGTCCTGACATGCCACCGATCTTGTGCCCTTGGGAAAGGCACTTTACACGACTTTCCTCACTTCGCTCAGGTGTAGATGAGTATTGTACTGTCCCTGTGTTGGTGGCGGCATTAATATAAGTTGAAAAAACTTGAGTGTGCCGTCACCACGTCTTGTGATTGCATGTTTCGGAATATAGAAAATATATATAATCCATTGTACTTAATTCTGTTTGCTGCTATTTTTTTTGTACGTTTTCAGAGGAGGAGATCAATGAATGTAGGATTGATCCAACTCTTTGTCAGAATGGAGAATGTATCAACACACGGGGATCCTTCGTGTGTAAATGCGACCCCGGCTATAAGACAGACGACACGATGACTCAATGCTTGGGTAAGACATGCATATGGCTCTACTACGCAGACATCTAGTGTGCTTTATTTAGACGCCAACAACAACAACAGAAAAAGTTTTGTTCAAGTAGTTATCTGCCATCATGACCTGAACAGGCACTCCGACTTTCAGATGACATTGATGAGTGAAGAAGGCCAATCGCCTTCCGCATGTGCATTGTTGTACGGCTGTCGCATGTACTCATCGGTGTGAGGAAAGCCCCTGTCACACATTCAGGACCCTCCAAAGACTTTGCGCCCGACCACCTCACAACTAAGATCGGGTTGGGAGTAGCCTGGAAACCGTCCTGTCCAACATCCATCCTCATCCAAGCAGAGTGACTTACTTTTCCGACTTCAGTTCTCCAAATTTATAGTCAACCGGCGCAAACAACTTTAAAGACTACAAGACAAACTTGCCGACCAACTCCCAACCACAGATGGCCTTGCTCACGATTGTCTCCCAACCATGGTCCTGAGAAGGTCGGGCCATGGTCGGACTATGTGTGACAGGAGCTTCCGGTACTTGACACGGCAATGGGAGGGAATCATTCTCCTGCGAAAGGGTCAATCTGCAAAAGTAATTATCACTTTCTAGTTGCGATTCGCAAGTGCAATATGTGATACATTGTACTGGTGTTTCTGTGTCAAACACATGGGATCTACTAATCTCTTCCACAGATGAAGACGAGTGCCAACTCGACCCTACACTCTGTCCCAACGGCCGCTGCCACAACAGCCAAGGCTCGTATGTTTGCATCTGCGACAGAGGCTATCGCTCCGATGCATCGCGGACACAATGTCTCGGTAAATGAACTTGTTTGTGTCAAGGTCTCGTACCTTAATACTGACCCTGTCCCTATACTTCCATTCATCGTCTTTATCGCCCAGCTGCAACGAAGGCGAAGGTAAGTTTTTATTGCAGTTCCTCCTGTTGCCATCAAGGCGAGTGATCTGTTTTGGTGAACAAAGTAGTAGTAGTACATTATAGTCTGTCAGAATCTGTAAATTTTGTATACTCTAGTAAGATATCTCTATCTTTATACACGACCTGTACTTCGCTTGTAAGAGCATAAATAATAATAAAGGTGTTTCATTTATTATACGGAGTACGCGTGTCCCAGAAAATTTAACTGACCTAATCAACATGCTCTATCGGCGGCCTTGTTTTGGCCATTTCAATGATGCTGTTGTCGAGCCTTTTGACATTAGCATGATGCAGTAGATTGTATTAACAAAAGAGTTGATTCGATGGGGTCATTGATTGAACTATATAGTTTATAATAATCCCATAGCCCCGCCCACCCGTGCGACGTAACGGGCGTGACGGACATGCAGCCGCTCACTCATTGGTCGGGCAGTTGATTAGAATGCTGTCATTGGTTGAACTGGTAATTTTGATTGGCAGCCAGGATGGGTGATGATGCAATGTGAATTTTGACAGATGTAGACGAGTGTGAAGCCAATGCGGGACTGTGTAGAGACGGAGAGTGCGTGAACACGCCTGGCGGGTACCGCTGCAGGTGTGACCAGGGATACGTGCCCAGTCCTGACCAGAGAGCCTGTGTAGGTGAGTCAAGAAAGAAAGAAAGAAAGTGATCTCGATCCAGTTTAGCTCCTTGAAGAGCTAATCTTCCACTGGTCGTGACAGAGAAGACACTCAGACGCTATGTACAGTATTTACAGAGGGCCTGTAAGGGGGGGTCCCGACAACGCTCTACGCTGAATTCGGAAACCCTCTATTACGCTTTACGATAAATTCCAAGTGGCTACAATGTATTACGTAGAATTAAAACGGCGAATACGCTCTACGCAAAATGCGAAGAGCGGTCCGTCTACGCTCTACGTAGAATAAAAACGGCCGATTACGCTCTACGGAAAAGGGCTTGCGGGCCCCCTTTACAGGTTCATTGTACCGGGTAAATTCCCCTAGCTCTTTTCGACAAGCACAATGAACAGTGGACCACGGTTAACGTCCCGTTCAAGGACTGCGACCCTAAACAGTAGCGTGCATGTCGGGTAAGCGACATCAGCCGGGATTCGAACTCCCAACCTCTTAGTCCAGAGGCAGGATCGCTAACCACTGGACTACACACGCTACTCCAAACAAGTTTGAAGTGGTTGCATTGTTTTTCTAAGGTTCAAAACTACAGAATAAATTATGTTGTGAATAGGTCACTTACAGTTTGAGAAACCTAAGTGTACACTACAACGTCACGTGCGCTATATGTTGATATTATTAATAGAAAAGGGAAAGACTGCTTTGACCAAAGTTGATGGATTCATCTGTAGACTCCAAATCTACAAAAAACAAGATGGGCAAAAAAACACACAAGATACCTACATTTTCAAAAGAGAGACCATTAATATGTTTCCAAACAAGAATTGACATGACAAAATATGATATCACTGACAGCAAAGAAATCTTTTATTCCTGTATTCAAGAAATGCAGAAAGTGACACTTCAATATATTTGTTGCTAAACAATAAGTTTTTGTATCAGAATGTTTGTAAACGTTGTTGTTTTTTTTACGTTGTTTGCAGATGTGGATGAGTGTACCATTGGAAACCCGTGCGGGCAGTCCGTGTGTCAGAATCTCCCTGGACACTTCACCTGTGTGTGCACGCAGGGCCTGGTGTTTGATGAGGACAGACAGAGATGTGTGTCTGCTTGGCTGGCTGGTAGGATACTTTGTTTTGTTTTGTTACCTCCATGAAAAATGGAGGTATTGTTTTTGGCGTGTCTTATGTCTGTGTGTGTGTCTGTCTGTGTTTCCACAACTTTGTGGTCAGCATAACTTCAGAACGCCTTTATGGATTGTGATGATATTTGGTATGTTGGTAAGTCTTGGAAAGACAAAGGTCAAGGTCAATGGGCCTCCTGGTGGATGACCTCGGTACTGCAGCAGAACTTCCGTTTTTTGTATCTTTTGTCCTGGTCCATCATTAGTGGTAAATGATGGAATTTCATACTTGGAACATGTGTAAGTTAATAAAAAGTTAACATCACGATGCATTTATTATGTTTATGTAGAGGTCATTTGCATAATTAAAGAAGAAATTTACATGTCAAGCCCATATTTCATGGAGGTATGAGATTTCGGAACTCTTGTTTGTTTTGCATAACCGGTAAAAAGCCATTTTAGGCGAAACACACCAGTTTTGTGTACAAGCTGCGGTGGTTTCTTATACATGGGGTGTGGTCTCCACTTAACGTCCTATCTGAGGGACGTCGCTAACAGAAACTAGGCACTCATTTACACCTGAGTGAAGTGGGGAAAGTCGTGTAAAGTGCCTTTCCCAAGGGCACAAGATCGGTGGCATTGGGCAGGATTCGAACCCGGGACCTCTTAGGTCTGAGCCGAACACTACCGTTTTGCCACACGACCCCAAGAAAATGCTTGAGAGAATGCCCTAAACCTTTTCAAGTATAATGTCATGTATTTGTCCATGCTGTAATCATATGTTAATGTTACATAGTTCCTTTATCATTTAATTCCCTTGAACATGTAACGTTTGTTAAATATTCAATCCAAATCATATCTGTTGTCCTATACCAATGGGCCTACATGGTGGGTCCCGACAACGCTCTACGCTAAATTTTGAGAGCCGGTTACGTATTACGCTGAATTCAAGAAGCTTTCTCATTACGTATTATGATAAATTCTGGCCGATGGGTAGCTACAATGCATCACGTAGAATAAAAATAGAATTACGTTCTACGTAAAATGCACCAATTACGCTCTACGTTGAATTAGAGCAGTCCATCTAGTATGCCCTATGTGGAATTAAAATGGCCGATTAAAACACTCTACCGAAAAGGGCATGCAGGCCCCCAATGGGACCTTTTTTGACGTGATGTTATTGTGGATGTCTTTCAGAGCAGACCCAGTCGCGGAAACAGTGCTTCTCAGATTCGAAGGATTTGGACTTTGGGTGCGGAGAAAACGCTGCAGGCTTCAACGTCACCAAAGAAGAGTGTTGCTGCAGCCTGGGTGTGGCATGGGGAGACTCCTGTGAGCTGTTCATGTGTCCAGGTAGAAATGCAGGTGTGTGGACAGATCGTATTACTTAGTAAGTATGCAGTGAAGCTAGGGACAGCAGACTGTAGAACTGAACCTGGGAACGGATTGAACTAAATGTGTAATAATTCCCTTGACCACTCTGTACATGTTTGTAACATTATTTGTATATTATTGTGTTGTTGTTGTTATGAATGTAGTTTTTTACTGTATGTGCCCAGGGATATCTTAAAAACAGATTCATGGTTCTGAGATATGCCCTGGTAAAATAAATAAACTTGAATCTTGAAGGCCCCAAAATAGGAGACAGTGGTTCTAGTCCCTAGTTCATATCCTCGAAAATCTTTTCTTTTTAAATTAAATTTTGGTCCAGTTTGGACAGTTCTGGGCTAGCAAGAACACTGGTAGGGTCTAAACGTTTCTACTTTGATTTCAGCTGAATATCTGGAACTCTGTGCCTTGACTGGCTTCCTGATGAAACATGACCAGAATAATGAGATGTACATCGAAGGTACGGAATATCATCTTTTCACATAGATACATGTACTAAGTCTACACATCAATCACTGTACTCTACATGCCCAGTGCTTAAAATGCTTTTAATATGCAAAGTGAACTATCAGGTGAATGAATTGCTATCTAAGATGGTGCCTACCGGTATACATGTATAAAAATTATATAAGCCAAAAGTACATTTTTGGGACATGCATGTCTACTTAGACCAGAACTCAGAGTAGCTGCCTCACTCTTCTTCAAAAATGGATTCTCAGGCACTGGTTAATAATTTGTTGATTCAGAAGCATCCAGTCAGGTGATAGGTGGGCCCATGCGATAGCTTTAAGCCAGGGAGAAGCATCCTTGTTTATTTATTTATTTATTACAATTTACCACATACATATTATGTACATGGAGGCCATGGTGGAACAGGTGCACCTAAGTGCACTTTTTCAAGGCTACCATGCCCACGTTTTTCCTCATTGTGTTTATACTAAGTTATCAAAGGCTCTACAACAAAAAAGAGAGATTCATCTGCATCCATATAACTGGCAGCAAGCATCCTCCTCCAATTCTGTTGACCATGAGTTCATTACAGAAGGCCTGCATGGAGGGGTCCTGACAATGCTCTATGCTGAATTATGAGAGCCGGCTACGTATTACATGGAATTCAAGAAGCCTCCCCCATTCCTCTTTACAATAAATTGCGGGTAGCTACAGCGCATTACGTAAACTAAAACGGCGAATTACGGTCTATGCAACATGTGCCAATTACACTCTACGTTGAATTACAGCGGTCCGTCTACGCTCTATGTAGAATTAAAACGTCCGATCACGCTCTACGGAAAAGGGCTTGCAGGCCACCATTAAGGTGAAGTCCTTTCAACTTTCTTGGAACTTCAAATGTAGCAATGGAATATTTCTGATTGTTTTTGTGTTTCTTACAGATATAAATGAATGTGACTTGTTCAACAATCCCTGCAACAATGCGATGTGTAGGAACACTCCAGGCAGCTACGTGTGCATTTGTCCAGCTGGATATTTCCTCAACGAGCAAGAACTCACATGCACCGGTTAGTCAAATACACTTAGCGTACATACTTCCAGTATGCCTCTTTATTCTTTAAATTCTTTTAACTGCATTGCTTCTCAGTGATCTAGTGCTGAAATATAGTAGATGGATAAGTTAGATAATACTTCTCATTGTATGGTATATTCTTTGGTGATGTGTAGAAAGTATGAATGTGGAAAATATATCCTCTGCAACGGAAAAAAGTTCTGATGCAATGTTGACCAAACATCCAATGAAAACTGTGAAAAATATGGGTTTTGTGCAGGCACAGTACGCTGACGTGCTAGTAGTACTAACGTTACATACATATATAATCAAGACAGACTGCCGGACAGTCATTTAAATAAATGATATTCCAACACCCCTACATGAATGTTCCATCGCCCACTTACCTTCTGTACATACACGTAACGGTGGGTTAGGGTGAGGGATGTCGGAACATAGGGGTGTTGGAATATAGAGGTTTAATCATTATGTAAAGTTTATACACGCCTACCTTGATCTTTATCTATTCTACAGATATCAATGAATGTGCCCAGTTCCCCTGTGGATCGGGAACATGTCTCAACCTTCCCGGCTCCTACGAGTGCAACTGTCTCGGCAACCAGATTCCGGACCCAACCAAGAAGAGGTGTATTGAGAGGCCGCTGACATTGCCTCTGGAGCCTCCTGCAGCATCATATGGTAGGGAGTTACATTTTTTTTTACTGCAGTACTGACTACTTCTGCTAGGTGTCACTGCTACACTGCAAAGTAGAAGCTTCTGTAAGAAGTACAACTGGTCAGTACTGACCTGAAAAAGGTTATAGACGGTCACCAAAATGCCAGAAGCTGCATGATTATGGACTGACTGTTTGCAAAGAACTTGGTGGGTTTTACATTTCCTGGAAACTTTTAAAAAAAATGCCAGGCAGTAACTCAGATGACAGTCCTATGTGTATGTTCCATTTTATGCTCCAATACCCTTATGTTCAGACACCCTTACATGTACATCCTGACATACATGCATGTAGGGGTAAGAGTTGTCAGAGCATAGGTTGAATTGTTTGAACATAAGGGTGTCAGAACATGATATAGGTGTGACAGAACATATAGGGTGTCTAACCAGTTATTCATCACTATGGATGATAGCTCAGGTGTAAAAATCCTCTCCTAAATGTTGGAATTGCAGCTCGAAAAGTTCATCGATGTTTTCTTCATTTTATCAGTTTTTGAACAACATGAAGTTTGCTGGACCAGTGTGATCGGCCCCAACCTGTTCTGCTCCAACGCCCTGCCATTCAACATGACCCGTGCACAGTGTTGCTGCCGCAGTGATGTTCAGGCCTGGGGGGTGGACTGTCAACTCTGCCCCAAGCTTGGCACAGGTCAGATGTCTTCTGTTTTTATCATATTCTCTCTCTGTCATTTTACCGTATTACATATATATTATATTATAATATTAGATATATATGGATATTTAGTGGCGTCTGTGTGGTGTAGTGGATAGAGCGTCCGACTGTCAAGCAAGAAGACCCAGGTTCAATCCCCAGGGTTGAACCCAGACATGTCCAGACATCGCACCCAGACGTTGTGCCCTTGGGAAAGGCACTTAACATGCATTTCCCCCCTCAGTTAGAGGGTACCCTGGCCCTACTAGGGTTTGGGTTGGCGTTAGGAAGAGCAGCCAGCTGTAAAAATCTTGCTTCAAAAAAAGACTTGTACCTGGTGCAAGCACGTCTAACCCCCGGTTAGGGGAAAAATGACGTTAAATTCGGTTTAAAAAAAAAAATTATATTATATAGAAGAATACTTGAACGCGTTGTATTCCGTTTTGCCCGAGGTACTAGCCCGACTGTGGTGACAGATCGATCAATGGCCAAAGATTTCAGATACTGATTTCATTAACGGTATTTGACTAAATCAATAGAAGAAAGCCAATGTGTCTAAAGTTCTCAATCTCAGGTCATATATTTTTAGACGTACCAGTACATGTATGTGTCCGTATTGAATGTTTGATTGCTGGTGAAGGATGTTGTCTATAATACAGTTGCAAACACTGATGGTTTGAGCAGTGCTATTCTTCATTCCCTAAATCTGCAGATGCTTTCAGAGACCTGTGTGAACGAATCAAGCCTGGAACCTCAGTAGACCAACAGGCCTTCTACATAGAGAACATAGGTAACAGATTACTTTAAGTGTGATTGTATACTAGTATACTACATTGCATTCTGGAGATGCTTGTACTTACTGTACAAAAATGGTGTGTTACGTTACACCTAAAGAGCACGTCGGCAGAACGTACTGCGCCTGCGCAAAACCCCAGTTTTATACGGTTTTCGTTGGATTTTTGGTCATCGATGCATCAGAATTTTGCCTGTGGCAGACAATATTTTTTTCCATATAACATTTGGAAACTACAAATGGAGTGTTAACCTTATGTGCACAAATACGACCTTATATGCATGCGAGACGTTCTGCCGAAGTGCTATGCACAATAAATACATTACGGGTTTCGCACAGGTGTAAAATAAGTATGTTCTGCCAACGTGCTCACCTAAAGGCAGTTTACCGGTTATGCAAACATGACATGATCAAACCTGGAATGTTCCCCCCAGGCCCTGTGGCAGGCCAGGTGCCGCTTATTCCGGGACAACAGCCCGGCAGACCGGGGTGGATGAGACCTTACGTAGCGCCAGAAAGGGTCCAGCCTCCAGCCCAGCTACCGCCAGGCATCCTGGCACCCAGACAGGGCCAACCCAGCGTCACCTACCTCCCGGCGGAGACTCCCTCGTTAGAACGGGAGTTTCCCTCGGAGCCGTTAGACGCTGACTGTCAGATCGAGGGCGGCTGTGGGTTTGGCCGCTGCCTCAGGGTTGACGGGGGCGGCTACATCTGCGACTGCTACTCTGGGTACAAGCTGGACAGCAACGGTTTGAAATGTGTCGGTAAGACTAATCTTCTTCATCTGAGTCACCATACTTTCTGAAGAAGTTTCTGAATCAGTTAGCTTTAACTGTAGTCTGTACTGTTTACCTACATTGATGACATGCATGCCTTTATAATTAGGCCACAGCAAGTAAATTATATGGATGACATCAGCGCGCGCATTAAGTTTCGACTGATTTTGGAAAAAAAAAACAAGATATTTTGTTGCTTACTGACAGTGACACATGCTGAAAATGGGCAAATATGTCTGTTGCCATGCTGGAAGGTGGATGGCAGATAACTATATGAAGAGAGGAGACAAGAAAAGGCTCTGATTTAATGTTTTGTTCCTTACTTTGATGCAGTGATATGTGATGCTGGTTGTGTATATGTGATGTTCCTACTTAATCAAAACCATTTGTACAATGATTGAGTCAAAATTTTAAAATGTAGGAACCTTTTTTTTTTCCGGCCCGCCTTGTTTTTTTTTCGCCCGCTCGCATTAGATTTGGAGTCTGCAGAGGATGTCATCCATAAAATTTACTTGCTGTGGCCTTTATGATCACATAAAGTACATACAATTGTAAAGGTTTGACAATAATCTACATGTATCACATACAATGTGAAAGAAAAGACATTAAGTCTTATAATCCATCTTATAACGCCTTTTCACCAGAGGTGTGACTGCTGAGTGACCCAATATTTGACAGTTCATTTAATGAATTTCATCGACAATTTTTAAATCATACTTGGCATTGTGCAGCATATTTTCCAGAGGTCACACAACTCCAATTTTGGATGCTCAGCGATTGCCGTCTAGTGTAAAGGGGACCTTTCTTACAAGCATCCCAAGATTGAGAGGTCTCAGCAATACTACCACACATAATTATGAAGCAAGTTTAAACTGTAATTTCCAGCACAAGAAATCAGACGGCCAAATTTTCAACTTCAGTTTTTGTCAAGGAATGAACAATCCACCACTTCTGTGACGTCACGTTATGCAGTTGACACACTTGACTCGGTGAGCAGTGGATTGTATGAGGGCCTGCAAGGGGGGGTCCCGACAACGCTCTACGCTGAATTCGGAAACCTCTCGATTACGTTTTACGATAAATTCCAAGTGGCTACAACGCATTACGTAGAATTAAAACGCCGAATACGCTCTACGCAAAAATATTAGAGTGGTCCGTCTACGCTCTACGTAGAATTAAAATGGCCAATTACGCTCTGCGGAAAAGGGTTTGCGGGGTTCAGAAAGTCTGTGGTGCCCCCCGTCTTTGTTGAGGGATGGTTGCAATGCAATGATGTTTTGGAAATTACAGTTTGAATTTGCATCATAATGACTTCTACCAACACATACCCTGGGTGCCAGCCAAGTTTACGGGCCGCTAGCCGTTTCTTTCGGCAGTCAGAAGCCCTTCGCCCGCAGACCTAAATTACCGCTGCGGTGGAATTGAGCCCGTGGGGAGGTTTTGCCCTGCAACTAGTTGTAGGGCCAGCCAAACTCCCCCGGGCTAGACTCCCCCGTAGCGCTAATTTACATCAGCGGGCAAAGGGCTCTTGTGGCCCGGAAAACGAGTTCTGGCTTCCAGAGTAACCAACACAGGGAAATCATATTAATATTGATATTTTCTGGTCATGACAGACATGAATGAGTGTGAGGAGCTGGGAGACCTGTGTAAAAATGGCAAGTGTATCAACACGGCCGGCTCTTACGTCTGTCAGTGTCACCCTGGTCATGCACCGAAGCCAGATCAACCCAACTTCTGTGTGGAGCAACAGGGCACAGAAACACCCACACAAGATTCACTGTCCAGAACGGAGGAATGATGATGAGCTGTGCTGTCATCTGTTATCATTACATGTCGTAAAATGTTGAACCTTATTCCAACACAAAGTCACACAGAAATCAAATTATGAATGACCACTGTCGCCTTCATCAGGATAATGAATGACCGATCAATTCAAAACGTGATCTCGCGAGAGTTGCGGTTACAGACATATGACATTATTGAGGGCCCGCAAGGGGGGTCCCGAAAATGCTCTACGCTGGATTCAGAAACCTCTCGATTACAGTTTACGATAAATTCCAAGTGGCTACTACGCATTACGTAGAATTAAAATGCCGAATACGCTCTATGCAAAAATATTAGTAAGAGCGGTCCGTCTACGCTCTACGTAGAATTAAACGGCCGATTACACTCTACGGAAAAGGGCTTGCGGGCCCCCCTTATTCACACGAGACTGGCACTTTTGATCAGTTGCTTACTTCACGTATCAGTAAAGTCTCGTGTGAATAAGGTCATGTGTCTGTAACCGTAACTCTCGCGAGATCACATTGTGAAGTGATTGGTCATTCATTATCCTGATGAAGGCGACAGTGGTTGTTGAAAATTTGATAATAACTTTGTGTTGGAACAAAGTTCAACATTTTACTATGATTGCTACCAACACAGATGAATTTTCATGATAATCATTACACGTAGCTATGTGTTTGGACAAACCATATCTTTATCTTTGTTCTCCCCAAAATGACCAGGTTGTTCAAAGTCAAAGATTTTAAAGGCATCCAAAGTGATGTCAGGGAGGCAAAACTGGATTTTCAAATCAATGTCATTCTTTTAATGTAGTAATTGGAATCAATCCTATCCCATAGCATACTTAATATTTGTGGGGTAAAAATGCGAAATGTCTTGTTTTGTATCATAGGTATTTATAAGTGTTACCAAAAAAATTAAGGGGCTTCTCATGTAGTTCGTTTTGCTTTTTCAAATGCTTTAAATATGAATGATTCAAATTCAAATTGGTTTATTCAGAAAAGCATATTGCAGCCTGACGGCTGAATTGCATGTTCATTTACAGTCAATGGAATAATAGACTTTGACTGAATTTTTAAAACAAGTACAATTCTAAAACCATTATGCAACAAATTTAAAATTACATTAAGAGCAGTAATTAAACAATATGTAGTTATATAAGCTTAGTCAACTAATATCTGGGGGAGTCTCAGTACATTTAAGTGGCAGTCCATAAAATCGTGAGAAGACCCTATACAACTGTAGTCTAAGCAGTTCATGTAAATATTCGAGGCATAGAGTCATTACTACTGAGTGTCGTTACTGTAGTAGAGTCTCAAAGCTCGTGGTATAAAGGACATTGAATGTCTTTTGCTTGAAGAATGATGAAGAAATGACAGTAAATGTCAATATCTCACTGATTTCTTCATCCAGAGTAAATTCGTTTTGCCACCCTGAAATTGTACCGGATGCCTTTAAAATAAAGGGAAAATTTGACGATGAGGTCTTGTCACCACCAAAAAAAACTTTTAAGGTTCTGTTACAAGAGTCTTCAGAATTATATGCGTGCGTAATTAAAAGTGTATGATTCTCATATTGTGATAATAATGATGATGACGATGACATTGTCTGAACTGTCCGTAGCATGTGTGGGGACTACATGCCCCTTCAAAGACCAAAGCAAATGTAAAGTACATGTAGTTAAAAGTTGACATTCTTTAAACTTAAACTTTAAAGACCCTTAACCTTCTCCTTGCTGATTAGTAGCCTCTTTGATACCAAACTTGATATGAAAAAGTATAAACATTGTATGTAGGTACGTTTTCTTATGTGGGTGGTGTTCAGCACCAAGGACAGGTATGTTTTCTTGTTTTGATGGTGTTCAGCACCAAGGACAGGTACGTTTTCTTGTTTTGATGGTGTTCAGCACCAAGGACAGGTATGTTTTCTTGTAAGGATGGTGTTCAGCACCAAGGACAGGTACGTTTTCTTGTGATGATGGTGTTCAGCACCAAGGACAGGTATGTTTTCTTGTTTTGATGGTGTTCAGCACCAGGGACAGGTACGTTTTCTTGTTTTGATGGTGTTCAGCACCAAGGACAGGTATGTTTTCTTGTTTTGATGGTGTTCAGCACCAGGGACAGGTAGGTTTTCTTGTTTTGATGGTATTCAGCGACAGGTATGTTTTCTTGTAAGGATGGTGTTCAGCACCAAGGACAGGTATGTTTTCTTGTAAGGATGGTGTTCAGCACCAAGGACAGGTACGTTTTCTTGTTTTGATGGTGTCCAGCACCAAGGACAGGTATGTTTTCTTGTTTTGATGGTGTTCAGCACCAAGGACAGGTATGTTTTCTTGTAAGGATGGTGTTCAGCACCAAGGACAGGTATGTTTTCTTGTAAGGATGGTGTTCAGCACCAAGGACAGGTACGTTTTCTTGTGAGGATGGTGTTCAGCACCAAGGACAGGCATTTTTGTCCATGTATTTATTGTGTTCAGAACCATGTCGTATTGGCTACGGGGTTAAGCAACAGGGAGAAGGTTAACTGTGGGACAGAGGCAACTTAGAAATACTTGTATATATATTTTTTTGGCATTCTGAACGTATGAGTGTGGATGGCTTGTAACAGACACTGGAAACAGTTTCTAGATGTCTAGGGCAGTGTTCTAGACAGCGTCCATCTTTCTGTCATTTGATGGATTATTGCGTGGTGACGGACAAAAAGTTTGCCCAATCCGCCATCTTTGACGGTCAACAATTAGTGTGTTCATAAACTATATGTAACAAGATGTCACTAACTTCTAAGCTTAGGCCACACCAATTTAATTTGTTGGTTCTCAGTTTCACCTCTTCATTTTTTCTGATTTAAAAAAAAAAAAAGATTCTGGTTCTGAATCAACTCAAATATGCTCATATTTTGCCCCCAACAGTTAAGTCCTTTTCTTCCTAATTGTTACAGTTTTTCCATCTATCAATGATTAAAAGTTAAAATTCATTGTTTAAATATTAACCCAACCTTTTGTGTTGACTTCATGGCTCCTACCATACCATTTGGGGCTGTAATAGGATGCCTATAGACCTATTTTTTCGGAAAAAATCTCAGAACCAACAAATTAAATTGGTGTGGCCTTTGTCTACCAGCAAAATGCTGGAAATAGCGTCAAGATTTGAAGATTTTTCTGAGGGTGCCCATAATGGTTACGTCAAACATGGATTATCAAAAGAGATGTTAGGCTGACTAGAACACTGATCTAGGGATGGTGTTTTCTTCTCTAAGAACTGGCATATCTTTCATGTGCTGTTACACAGGTAAGAAACACCAAGCATGTACAGAAATAGCAAAACAATTTATTATTCTACAATTACAAAGGACAATCCCACTCCTGGGGTTACCTCCAAACTTACAACCCACTTATTCATGACAGCTTTAGAAGCATTAATTGAATTATGTGGACAGATGGATGTTTTGTATCTTATTTTGTATAGCCCAATTGAATACCTAATATAAGACATAGAGTGATGAAAACATGTGTCAGTTCAGAACTAGGACAGATCATGTGAAGGCACTTGGTACTTCAAGCTGCTCATCTCCTTAAAGATTTCAACATTTCTTTCAAGTATCAAGTGTAATGAAATCAAGGGATAGTGCTTTGCAACAATTCTTAAACTTAAAGGCACCCAACGTGATTTCAGGACAGTAAAATTGGATTTTCAAAGTGAATTTTCTGGTCTTTTTGTTTTAATGTAGTAAGTTGAATGAACCCTATTCCATACCATACTGATATACGTGAGCCAAAAATGCGATGTCACTGATGGAAAACGGTTTGTATTCATTTCTAAGCTGGTTCTAGCTATTTACTGCGTGCATGGTGGCACCAAAAATAAAGAGACTCCTCTCGTAGCTTGTTTTGTAGCAATTTCAAAATTTAATGCTTCAAGTATGAAATGACGACGTACGAAAAAGTGCCAATAAATGGAAGTAAATCTCAATATCAGACATATTCTGTCATCCAGAATATTTGATGTTTTGCCGTCCTGAAATTTCATTGGGAGCCCTTAACCTTCTCCCTGCCCAACTACCCTTTTAGCACCAAATTTGTATTGGTTCAACACTACCAAAAAGGCTTTTTTCTTGTTTTCCTTGTACAAAGAAATGATAAAGAGATGGTAGCAAGAAAATTATTCTTTGAACAAGAAATTAAAGAATCCCCGTAGCAAGGAAAACGATTCTGTCCACAAGAAAATATTTCTTGAACTAAGACCTAATTGTTCTTGAAGCAAGAAAACCATTCCGTGCACAAGAAAAGATTTCTTGTTTGTGAGCATGATAGTAGAAAAATTTTCTTTTCTTAAGAAAAAAGAAGAATAAAATTCTTGTAAGAATCAGCATACAAAATCTTTGGAGAATGTTTCTCAAATTTTCTTGAAAATGACCCTGGCAAGAACATAAGAAAAATAAGAAAAAACATTTTTGGTAGTGAAGAGTTAGGCAGCAGAGAGATGGTTAAATGTAAAATGATATGCAGACAGTGAAGGTGTACTTTAAAGACATAATGTAGACTGGTCTACAACTATCAGGACTTTGTTGTGTATAACCAAGTTTTGAGAGATACTTTGTAAAGCTGCTCTAGAAAACTTTGGCAAAGTCGAGTAAACTTGGAACTTTTGTACAAAGGGAGTGCAGGAATCTTTTTTTTTTACATGTAAGGCCACAGCAAGTAATTTTTATGGATGACATCAGCACGCGCATTGATTTTTGCCTGATTTCGAAAAAAAAAAAAAAAAAATTTGTTGCCTTTTGAAAGTGGACAACATGCCGAAAATGGGCAAATATGTCTGTAAATATGCCATGCCGGAACTTGGATGACAGATAAATATGAAGAAAGGAGACAAGACATGGAGATTTGGAGTCTACGGACAATGTCATCCATAAACTTTACTTGCTGTGGCCTAAGTAAAAAGATGTCGGTCAAACTTGTCTCCAACAACCATTCTGGGGACCATGGCAAAGTGGTCTTCTTAGACAAGTGGTCTTCTTATACAAAAGCACGGATAAGAAGAAGAAAACTGCAGCAAATTTACATCCATTTTACAACAAAGTGACCCAGTCAGCACCATTTTACATTGCACGAAGACTGTCAGGCTGTCAAAATCAGTGGCAAACGAGCTGATGTCATCACAATTTCTTGATCATGAAAATTTTTTTTCCCAAACACTTGAAAATGACATGGTCATCTTAGGCAGAAATTGGACCATGTCCCAAGTAATGCCGGTTGCGGTCTTGTTGGACAAGTGGTTGCCTTAGGCAAGTCCCTTCATGATTATGTCTGTAGGGAAAAATTGGAACCGAGAAGAAGCCGTCATTATGGCCAAATGGCTGTCTTATAGATGTGGTCACTTGGACAAGTTTGACTGTAATTAATTACAACTTAAGGAAGAGATGTGTATGTTATTTGTAAGCATCAATATTCAAGCAAAACAACACTTGAGAAGTACATGTAATCTCTATACCTTATATATCATACCCGGGCCGCGATAACGTTCGATAACAGGTTCCGGACCGGGCCGTACTTTACGGTATACGTAGTACTGCTACATTCCACATTGTTAATTTATAGCTACCATCAAATTCAAAATATAGACTGACATGACAATTTCCAAACCGTGTTATGATAAGATTATAACTAATAGTACGATCCACAACCAGACATCACAATATAATTTACTCCGTATTACTTTTTTTTCATTTTCTTTTGCATTTACTTTGATTATTTCAGCAAAGACCTCCTTTTCTTGATCCCAAACAGAACATATATACCACCAGTACATGTACATCACTTCCGTGTGCCTTGAATAGTTAGCCTGGGTACCATCCTGCTTAGTTTACGTCTGTTCCCACAGTCCCTTACGCCCCAGGTAGTGACCGCCCCAGGTAGTGACCGCCCTATGTAGTGACCACCCCGGGTAGTGACTGCCCCGGGTAGTGACCGCCCCGGGTAGTGATAGCCCTAGGTAGTGACCGCCCCAGGTAGTGACTGACCTACGTACTAGCCATGACCGCCAAGGTACTGACCGACCCAGGTACTGACCGCCCCAGGTAGTGACCAACCTGGCTGGTGACACCTACCCAGGTTATAATAAGTGACCGACCCAGGTATTGACTTTGGGAGTCGACGTAAACTAACCAGGATGGTACCCAGGCTATTGAATAGTTACTGTCAAAAAGACCTTTCCACAAACAACAATATCTTTATCAAAAAGGTCAATAGCAATAACCTTTCTTTACTGTACACATACAACACTTGGCTTCCAGTTGGCCTAAACACCACATGAAATTACTCATATACACATAGTGTTTTCTCTTATAACTCTCCTAAATCATCTGAAATATGTAAATATCATCCTGACATTCAGCTTCAACCTACAATGTATGAACGATGGATGATGAATATTGTCACAGTGGTAGAAAACATTTTGTTGGCTCCAATGGTATTTCACAGATTCCAGCAACTGTAACTCATACTTTTGATATTCATAATAAGCTGCTGTGTTGCACTGATGCACAAGGCATCAATGTAGGTACTGCAAATGTTTACGGTAGACCTTTCTCCACCATAAATTCATGACACTGGAAATTTGTGTTCCTAATGTAGTATTACTGCCCAAGTCAGTCCGGAAATAAACTGGAGGCTGTTATGTACTCCTTTAGCAGACCAACTCATCTGGCATGTTTAATACCTGTCTATTTGTCCAATTTCTACTCTTTCTTGCCGCTTCTGAAGCCTGGTAGAGGCTACAGTAGTCTTTTTCATCAGCATTGCAGGAACCTTCAAGATACTAGTAGTATCACTTGAATCTACATTGCCCAACAATAACAAGACCAAGTTTTGTCTCTTCTTGCGTATTAAGATGACATAACACCATCTTCCAGCCATCAACACTACATTTCTCACATCTATCACTGTCATCAACCTTTCTTTCTAACTAACATATTTGATCGACATCCAAAATGATACAGATAACAGGAACTAGCCTTGACAACTGCATGTAAAAAACATGGGCCACACCAATTTGATTTGCTGATTCTCAGATGAAAAAAAACTGAAGTGATGGCAAAAAACAAAAAACATACATGTAGACATCCTATGATAGCCCAAAACCTATAATAGGAGCCATGATGTCAACATAACAGGCTGGTTTATACATGTAATTCAAATAATAAACTTTTTATCAAACCAATGCATTGATAGATGGAAAAAATACAACAACTAGGAAGACAAGGAGCTTTTGCCAACTGTTTAAGCCAAAATATTAGCATTTTTTAGTTAATTCAGAACATGAATCTTTTTTATGCATATCAGAAAAAAATGAAGCAGGCGAACGTAGGTGAAGAACCAATTAATTAAATTGATGTGGCCATAAGTTAAAAGACTAGTGTAAACCTTTCTTTATGTGTAGTAGACCGTATTTTGTACTTCATACGATGTAATCTGCTCTGTTATGCTTTGTTAAGCTGAAAACTATACCAGAAAGAATGCAAAAATCTACTTATTTTGGAGGACAATATTTTACTTGTTCCCTTCTACTTTTTTTGAAGTATTTTGAAGACATCAGTTCAATTTCAAAGATATAAATTATCAAGGCAATTCACATTTGCCAAAATTTGATATTGTAGCAGCTTTTGGCAGAGTACATCATGGCAATTGAAATGTTCAGTGTCTAGTTCTATATATCTGTTTATTTCATAGTCAAGGATAACAGAATCACAGACATACACATCCTCCCATGGCAGGGGCAGCGGCTCCGAATTCCTTCTCCACCCCTTACCCCTGCCGAATAACCCCGCATCTTCTACTCTGCGACCCGATTCCAGGGACACGCTCTCAGTCAATCACGTATCACAGAGAAAATCTTCAACGCACTCTACATTAAATATTTATGAGCTACGCTAGCTATCGGAACCAATCATGTCGGCTCTTACATCGGCTGTTCAGTGACAAATAAAAACAAACATGGCGTCGTCTTGGGAAGAGAATTTTGCGATGCAGGCCGCTAGCGTGTGCTGGAGGCTGCGCGCGGATCCCGCCGAGCACGGGGAAGGTGCCGGCGCGGAGAAAAGACGGGGCGGCTCGGTGACTTTGCCCCGCACGGCCTCCCCAACGGGCTCATCACCGGGCGGCGGCGGAGTCGCCGGCGGCCAAGTCAGAAATGGGGTCATGCCAAATAAGGAAAGCTCATGAATATTAATATTCCTGGGCTCGCAGAGTAGAAGATGCAGGGTTATTCGGCAGGGGTAGGGGTGGAGAAGGAATTCGGAGCCGCTGCCCCTGCCATGGGAGGATGAGACATACAATAATGGGGTCTTTGTTTGGTAATAACACTGTACACTCTTTTCCTCTTCCTATCTCAGATCATTCCTGAAGTCTTAACTGATCTACCTTAAGCCCCTGTCACACATTCTTTATCCGACCAACAACCAACCAAGGTTGGCTGTAGTTTTAGCCCATGCCTACCTTTCTAATTAAACAAATCAAATAGAATTTGAGTAAAATTTCAAACACATCTTGGACACTGCTGAACTACCCCAGAACACCGGGCAACCACCAGCTAACCATGGCTGAACCTCTCGTTCACTCCCGAATGTTTTGAGCATTTGAAAAAAACCGAAGCACCGCGCTGAAGGCGGAAGGACACCCGGAAGTAAGCCTCGGGCCCGAAATCAATTTTCACCCAAAACACACCCAAAACACGCCACTTCTTACACTTTCCAGCCATGTTAGTAGTTAATACCATTTTGCAGCAGATTATGAGAAATGTAAACTCAAACATGAACCACCGGAACCCCTTCGTCACTTTTTTTCCGGGCACTACCTTGGACCCCTGTCGCGGAAGAATTGGTGTGTGCACCGTTAAGGCCTTGGAAAAAAAATGTTGTGTTTCCTGTTTCCCGTCCGATCCTAGAAAAACCTGCTGATCCTAGACTTTTTTTGGGTAGTCCCTGAAGGGACAAATTTTTTGAGCTAATCAACCTTTTCTAACTCCATGATCTGACACCTGTAAAACGTTGTACAATTGGTTTTCTACCATTGACATTGAAAATAAAAGTGTCCTCATGGAAGTTTTACTATGTTAAACTGTATCGTATAACTATAAGTTGGACCCCAATATAGATGTCACTGAAGTCTAAAAAAAAAGATAATCCCTACCTACCGACCCTAATTTTTTCAGGACTGAAAGAGGAAACACAACATTTTTTTCCTAGGCCTAACCACAGTTGTTGGGAGGCCATATTCGGCTACTAGTACGTGCAACAGGGCCTAAGTTATGTATCTGTGTTGTTCATCTAGTACTGCCTTTTATCAAAATACACCAGCCTCATATTCTTATTGCCACATGATGCCCTACACCAAGATATCCAGCAATATCTTCAAGATGCTGACAAATATGGTCCACAATATGGACTCCTCATCTATGTCCTCATCCCCCTCTTCTCTGTGGTTTCCATGTACGAACGACTCGCTCCCTGAAAAGTAGTCCACCAGCACGGTGAAGCGGTACCTGGCCGCGTCGTGCGAGGGGTGGCCGTAGATCCCGATGCCAATCGGTCTCTTCATGTCGGCGGGGATGTCTACGCGGTCGTCCCCGCAGGTTACCGAGTTCATGTCGTAGTTGTCGAAGTCCGGAGACAGGGTGGAGGCGGAGACGTAGATGTCTGCGTCCCCCTCCAGTGTCTCCACCAGCAGGCTCACCTCCCCCTCTCGGTACATCTGGTAGTACGTGTAGTTCCCGGCGCCGACGTGACCGCTGAAGGACTGCAGGACGTAGTCCCGTTTGGACGCCAGGACCAGCGTGGCCAGGAAGGTGACGGCATACAGGAGGATCCTGAGCCACCTCATGTGGGACCACACGTAACTCAGCGTCAAGACTTTCATGGCAACAGGAGGCTTCACATGAAGCTAACTGAAAGAGAGGGGTATTTTTGGTTAGGCCATACCAAGTAAATTTTATGGATAACATCCGCGCGCGCATTGATTTTGGCCTGTTCCTAAAAAAAAAACCAAGAAATTCTGCTTCCTGTAACTGTGACCAAAGAGCTCGAGTCACGACAGTGCCGCAAATCGTTAGATTGACGTGAAACCCGTAACGCGAAATGGGTAAAGAGCACATGCTTTGTTTCTGCAGGCCTGCAAAAATGTGATGAAAGAAACAGGACGACAACTGCTGTTCCACCTGATTTATTGCTGTTTTGATGATGAATAAATGACTTCTTGCTTGTTAATCTGTGTCACCTCATTCAATTTGTGTCCTAACATTTGTCGTCTCTTAGTATATTTCTAATCTAGGCATCTTGTTTTTTAGGGCCCTTCTTGGTTTTTTTTGCCCTCTCGCATTAGATAAAGGGTCTCCAAAGGACGTCATCCATAAAATTTACTTGGTGTGGCCTTAGCACAGTGTGAGTGTGATTATGATAACACACAGAATTGAGTGACATCAGACGCCTGACGGTATATCTTCCCATGCATGGTATATGCACTGTGTCACTGTGTCTCCCAGTTGCGTCATTCTGGTGTGAAAGCAAAGGAAGGACACAAGAAGATCTATGCAAATCAGGATAATTCACATCTTGACACGAATTTGACTGTTCACACCTGCTAGGAACATTAGGCCCAATTTACACAAGGCAAAATTGAGCGACATTTGACGTGCGGCGCGTACCAAATCACCTACTAGGACACTTTTCGTTTTACACACAAGGACCACGGCTCCTGCTGGGGGCTGTGTCACATGTGGTGAACCCTGTTTCTTCAGTAGTTACTTAAATTAAGATCTTTTTCTCAAATTATTTTGCGTTTCTGTTATACGGTACCCTAAGAATCCTGTTACATGCCCCTACGTTTCTGATAAGCTATTTCTATGGATCAGAAAAGTAGCGGCACATTTGCAAGTAGCTGATTCAGCGCGCTACTGACCAAGATGGCGGCCACTCGGCTTATGAATACATGGGGAGCGATCGCAAATAGTGGCGGTACGAGTCGCACAGGGGCCGGTTGACACGCAAAACACCCCGGCACGCTAGGTGAGGCTGTTAGGAATCCAGGGACGTGCAAACTTCGGTCTCAAAGTGTTCCGGCACGGTAAAACGCATGTTTGTTCATTTGGCCCAATGCACCGCTCCGCGACTGTTGTTAGGGCTAATGTAAAAGACTGCAAGCAAGAGAAGCCCTGCAACAGTCGCCGCGGATAAAAAGGTATGTACATTTGCATGGAACATAGGTCGGAATTAGGACCCCTCCCGTTAACGTTACATGGTATAAAATTATGGAATACTACATTGTGAAATATTTCACATTGCTATGACACGGTTTCTCTTTTGTATAGCCAAGGAGGTTTGATTTTTATCCTCCTTGGTCCTTGGTATAGCATTATGTATGTACTGACCTAGATAAACAGATAAATGTGTACTAGTATTAAACAGATACAGAGTCGGGACATGTAAAAAGAAACGATACTAGTAACGTTACCTAGGTTGCCCCCTCCCCACCCAGTTCCAAAATGAAACCTACGTTCGCACAGAAGAAGGACCTAGTCTATATAGTCTGTGCCATTCGGCCGAAACACATGCGGCTCTAATAGAGTGTTATGTTAGGGTAAAAGTTGAAGAAAGAGCTTACCGTTTACGAGTAAAACTTGCAAAACAACTCTTGTCACAAAGATGACAGACCCACTGACCCCCTTTGACCCGCACGGGTGACCTTTGCCCTGAAGATCGCATCCGCACATCCTGAACAACAGTCACCAGCTCGTGTAGTTTATTAACTCCATCAACGCCTAAATAAATAAGATGTTAAACTGTCGTAAAACATCTGATAATATATTATCACAGATTACGTAACTTTGAGTTACCTTTGGATGTGTAAGAGGTAAACGATTGTAGGATTGCGTTTTGTTGCGTTCTAATGACTAGGCCGACCCGGGAAACTGAAAATGGACGATATCCGAGATGTGGAAATGGTCCCGTGCACAGATTCACGATTTTTACGGCCGAAACGAGTTAAATACACTCAGGTGAGTACCGTTAGACAATGTTTATCGAGCTGTCACGGCACAGATACATTGGCTTCAACTGAAATCTGCACAAATCATCGGCGGATCGAAAAATACTGTGTGTGTGTGTGGGGGGGGGTCTGTGAGTTTCAGTTCCGCTTTTAAAAAATGAAAATGACTTTTTTCACCAGCTGTCATCAAAGTTGTTAGATTTGATATGTTTTGGGAGCAAGGCTACAGATGTAACGAGTTCCTCACTGGCCACCCAGTGCGGAATTCGCGGGGAAAGTGGCGTCGGCACTCGGGGCCCTGTGCGGAAGGAACCTCCGCACCGTTTGAGAGCTCTTACGTCTTACACGGCCACACCCTAGCTACCGTACAGACTGTCAACTACCTGGGAACAACAATGAGTAGAGACATGGCTTGGGACACACACATCTGCAATACTGTAAATACGGCAAATCGGGTCCTGGGATTTCTTAGACGCAACCTTAAGATCTGCTCTAAGAGAATAAAGGAGAAAGCATACAAAGCATTTGTACGGCCCATACTCGACTATGCAAGCACAGTGTGGGACCCGTACACCAGGAAGGGAGTGGACAAACTAGAAGCAGTCCAGAGAAGAGCGGCAAGGTTTGTGCTCGGCCGCTACCACAATACCTCCAGCGTGACCAGTATGCTGAGTACGCTTGGCTGGAAACGCAGGAGGGTGGCACAGTTAACTTGTCTTTACAAGATACAACGCGAGCTTCTTTGGTGTCCAATTATCAAGAACAAATTGGTTCCTCTCCCTCCACAACAATGTAGAACCCACAACAAACAGTTCCGTCTTATTCACACAAGGACACAGAACAGAGGAGGGTCCTTCCTTCCAAGAACAGTGAAGGACTGGAACAGGCTTAGCTGCGAAGTGGTGGAGGCACCTACCGTGGACACCTTTGTGTCACGTGCCTCCAAAAGTCACTGAACAGTGCAGTTTTACAGTGCCCTTAAGGATTCCCGACCCAGGCTACGGACTACGGACTGATGAGATGGGATTATGGTTTGGAAAATAAACAAGTTCGCCAGAACATGTCAGACGAAGGCAGCAGAGCACTACGACATGCCAGTGTCATCACTAACATGATGTTGGGCATTAAAGAGAAGAAGAAGAAGAAGAATTCTAGTGCTGAACGGCTTTTTTTTCCAGTGCTGAAGCTCCGCCAGAACTGGAATTCCAGAGCTGAACGGCTTTGTTCCAGTGCTGAAGCTCCGCCAGAACTGGAATTCCAGAGCTGAATCTTGACTCGGCACTCGTTTTCCAGTGCTAAATTCCACTCGGCACTCCCTTGCCAGTGCTCAGAGGCCGTTCACCACTGTCGAAGTACCTAAAGTAACGGGTTCCTCACTGGATCGTTCCAGTGCTCTGTGACTCTTGCTGCTGGAAGCCGAGTTCTCAAATCATTTCGGCACTAGGCTTCTGGTGCTTATGTTTGGCGTACAGCACAGTATCGTAGGCTTAGTCTACGTCTTTGAAAATGTGAGGAAAGAGGCCGTGCAGTCCTGTTCTGCTGATCACCTTGTTGTCCCGATTGTTATAATAATTTGCTTCCTGGGTGCTATGATCTCGAAAATATGTGTGTTAGAGTTCAAAGGCAGCATCTCGGTACTCTTTTTAAAGGTAAGGTTTGATTTGCCGATTTATAGTTTCCAGTCCTGAAGCCGTCGACACTGGGCACCAAGTGTTGACATAACTTCAGCACTGGAGATCTAGGACGGAAGCCGCCTCACCTCTGTACACCTAGTGCTGAGAAAGGAACCCGTTACTATTCGGTACTTTTGCATTTCGGGACTGATTTGTGGGGGCCCGCAAGCCCTTTTCCGTAGAGCGTAATCGGCCGTTTTAATTCTACGTAGAGCGTAGACGGTAGCCTGGGTTCCATCCTGGTTAGTTTACGTCCGCTCCTACAGTCGCTACCACCAACCAGTCTGGGATCGCTTCTTGGGTTGGTGGTAGCGACTGTAGGAGCGGACGTAAACTAACCAGGATGGAACCCAGGCTACGTAGACGGACCACTCTTCACATTTTGCGTAGAGCGTATTCGTGTAATTCTACGTAATGCCTTGTAGCCACTTGGAATGTATCGTAAAGCGTAATCGAGAGGTTTCCAAATTCAGCGTAGAGCGTTGTCGGGACCCCCCCTTGCAGGCCCTCATTTGTTTTAGCCATTGTATAGCTTGTGTACTTACTTATTACAAGGGGTTGAAAATTTGTCCTCAATGTTAGTTAGGTACTACATTTGTATTACTAGTAAGTACAATTTACTTTCTTTTAAATTTGCAGAAGCATCACACAGTCAAGTTTGACTATGTAACATTACATGTACAGTACTGTAATATTGGAGAGACAAAGAACCAGTCTAATTGCACCATCATTTCCTTCACGATTCTTAAGTAAAAGTTATTCAAAAAGTGAGTGACTGTTTTTGTTGCAAAGGATAACATTACGTCCAGAACAGGAGGGATCCAGCAATTATAGCTGCAGTATTCTCAAATACGATAGGGGGAGTCTGTAATCCATACATTTCAAGTTCCAGATACAATAAGACTGGCAATGAAAACATACCTTGCCATGGCAACGGTGTTTGCTTATAGGGTTATTGTTTGCATGGCACTGCCATCATTTCATGATTTTGAGGAAGACTTGGTACCTGGTAAGTCTAGACAGATACAGTGCACTCGTCCCCTGAGTGTATAGTGAACGAGCCCCGGGGTCACAGAAAGTAGGGCCATCTGGGGCAGACAGGTCTTCACAAGGGTTTCCAGGAATGTGGGCATAGATGTGGGTCAGAGACATGCCTATGGGCATTCCATTCCTGTGGACAAAATGCCTGTACCATTCCTAGAATTCTTGCAAAATGCACACAGTACTGTACCATTAGGCTCCTCCCTGAGACGTCGCCAAAAAATGTGAATTAGGCTCTGAGTTAGGGTATGAAGCCTTCTAATATTCTGTCATTCATCCCTCCAAGTCACAAGCAGACACTGACTGCAGGTGGTTTTAGAATCTTTTCCTGAATTGATTTCTGCATTCTATGACATTAGTATCGTTTTCCAGTTCTGTTTTTTTTGCAACATACGGCGTATATTTGCACTTTTTAAGTATGGTCGAAAACTTTTTTTTTTTGGAAACGGACAAAAATTCATGCATGCGCAGATGTCATCCATATAATCAAATCAACATGACCTAAGGCCACACCAATTTAATTTATTGGTTAACGGATTCGCCGCTTCATTTTTTTCTGATTTGCAAATAAAAATAAAAATCCAGAATCAACTGCAAAATGCTCATATTTTGCCCTGAACAGTTGAAAACAGACCTTTTCATCCTAGTTGTTACAGTTATTCCATTTTTCAATGTAATGGTATCATTGAAAGTTTAAAATTCATTGTTAAATTTTGAACCAGCCTGGTGTGTTGTAGCCTGGGTTCCATCCTGGTTAGTTTACTGTGGGAGGGGACGTAAACTAACCAGGATGGAACCCAGGCTAGGTGTGTTGACTTCATGGCTCCTATCGTACCATTTTGGGCCATAATACGATGCCTAGGCCTGTTTTTATTTTCATTTTTTTTTCGCCCGCCCGCTCCATTATTTTTCTAGAAAAAATCCGTTAACCAAGAAATTAAATCGGTGTGGCCTAAGGTACTAGAATCAGTAGAAAGTTTTCTGTGCACTAGTGCAGTACCAGGCTCTGTAGCTAGGAGTGCTTTTGTACCAGAGTTGTGGACACTTGTAACACACTTGAGTTTGAAGCATACCAAAAGCTAGAAGCTGTATTGTAGCTTTTTGTAAATCCAAGAATTTTAACATTCAGTGTTGGATGAGCTTGATTAATATTTTTCCTTTGTTATAATTTTCCCTGCTACGTTCCTTTGATATAATTTCCCCTGCTATGTTTGTAAGATGGTACATGTACCTTTTTTCTTTTAACTCAAGATTGTCAGTAGGTGGTCTGTCCTGTTGTACTGATTCCGCTTGATTTATTGTTTTTCATCAATGAAAGGATTGATTTTTAGGTTAATAGTTTTTCCAAAGCTTTGAAAGGTAATGTTTCATGTTGTAGTGCCTGGTGATACTGGACTCATTGATTCTTTTCCTAACCTGTACTTGTACTTGTACTTCAGTGGTCGAAATACTTTTTTTCAGTGCTCTGCAAATGTGCAATATTGCAGAAGAGTCAAAATTTTGTTCTGCAATTTGAAAATACTTTCTGCAAATACACAAGCCTCCATACTACAACCTTCACAAACCATTCATGTCTTTTTTACATCATATATAACTTTGTAAATCTGTAGCATTACTGGAATTCTTTTAAGTTTAATCTATCACTCTTTTTAATTTTTGGAAGTCCAAAGGGAAACAAAAGATAGACAAGTCAAGACAAGGATGATGCAAATTAGTGAATTTCGAAGAAGCTCCTGTTGTTTCAAAACAGGAGCTTATAAGTGTTGTCTGTCCTTGGGGCCAGAGAGTTCTAGTTTGCTAAATTGAAAACCATTGAATCTGGAGCCTATTTTTCCTTCTGCAAAATTGCAGATTGTATAATTTTTCTTCTGCAATCTTGAAAATCTATCTGCAGATTGCAGAGACTGCAGACAGGTATTTCGAACACTGTACTTGTATGTGCCAAATTGAGCTGAACACTTGTGAGGAGTACACCACAAGACTAGCAGTGTTCCAGAGTAGGCTGTGACAAGGTAACATTATCAAAACCAGGTGAACCTTGTTGCCCCCCCCCCCCTTCACCTGTGTGGTCTTTTGCTATCATTGACAGGTCATGTGTACTGGTCTGGGTAGCCTAGGGGCGGACATGGTGAGATTATTGGTTGGTCTTCAACGAGGGTCTGCATGGGGGAATTATGGCAATTCTTGTGTAGATAGGCTAATGGTCAACTGGAAAAATCGTATAAAAAATAGGAGGGGGTATCTCAATCTCTTTACAGGAGTCTGTCCACCTTCCCTATGTCAAACACTCCTTCTG